CGGCTTGCGTGTCCACCGTGTGGTTTGCTTTTCTGCTGCCAGCCACTGCCTGTCCCAAGGCCGCCGTGGTCTCCTCCCTGCAGTAACCGTTCTGTGCCTTCCTGGCAGTGGTTATGGCAGTGGGAGCTCCCGGGGCTGCGAGGCTGCGTGCGCGTGCCCGTGTGCGTGCGTGTGGCCCTTCCCATCCAGCCCCTCTGAGTGGGCACAGACCCACGGGGCGGGGGCGTGGACAGGCAGATGAAGTCACCCTGGTTGGGAAATCCTCTTCCAGGCCAGACCTCCTCGGCGCCTTCCCTCAGGCACAGTGTACCCTGCGGTGCTCCCACTGTCCGCTTTGTCATGAGCAATTACTGCTAATGACAGTGTCTGGGTGCTGGGACCAGGCGGGCTGCAGGGGAGGCCTCTCAGCCACGGTGGGGCCTCGGTGTTCCGAGGTGACCTATGGGTCACAGTGAGGCCGCTGGCCCTGGTCTCTGGTTGGCACCGTGTCTGTGCTGGGGAGTCCCTAGGAGACTGGAGAGAAGGAGGGCCCACCTCAGGGGCTCCCTGCAAGGACAGTGCCCTGGTTTGCACGCCTGATGTGGCGCCAGGGCTGGTGGGTCAGCCATCAGGATCCTGCTGACGGACATGTGTGTGTGATGTATGTACGCATGTATGTGTGTGTGTATGTGTGCATGTCTGTGCACACCGCCACGCCCTGCAGAGGGACCACGGCAGGAGGCAGTCACAGAGCAGAAGTCACAGCCAGCGAAAGCCACGTCCATGTGTGTTTGAGCTCCACCACGTGGCCAGGGTTCCCTGCCCTCAGCCTGGTGGAGACCCGACTGGGCCTGGGCAAGTGGGGCCACCGTCGGAGTGGACTGGGCTGACAGTGCACAGACAGCATGGAGCCTGCTGCCTCCTTGGCCACCAGCTCCAGGCTGGTCGCTCGGTCTGACCAGAGGTCAGGGGCTTCGGGGAGCCTTCACTATGGGCGGCCAAGCTGAGGCCCACACAGTGACCAGGGGACTGGAGAGGAGGGACACCCAGGGGAGGGGCTCCTGCAGAGCCAGCGGAGGGGGCAACTTCAGCTGGAGCCTCGTGGACCGACCGACCTCCAGGGGCTGCCTTCTCAGGAACGAACGAAATTGAGGCACCGGCCTGAAGTCAGGACTGTCTGAGCACAGGGCCCTCAGGAAGGACGGCCCAGCCGGAGGTGGAGTGGGGCCCTCTCTGGACCTGCCTTGTTGGGAAGATGGTGCTTTCTATGAAATTTCTATTTGGATGAGTTTTCATTAAAAACAAAAAATGTATCTCTGAAAGTGTAGTTGTAAACTGGCTACAACAGGATTGAAAATGAAAATCCCTGGCACCAGCAGTTGGTGTAATGGCTATGTTGCTGGACTCCCATGTAGTCGACTGCAGTTCGAGTCCCGGACCCAGTGGCTTAAGCTCACACCAGGTGTATGTGTGTGTGTGTGCCCAAGATCCCAAGAGGAGAATGGAGGAGAAGGGATTATGGTGTGGCCATCCCCCCGGGGGGTGGGGTGATTTCTCACTTTCTGTCTCTCTCTCTGTCTTTCTGGCGAGCGCACGCGCCCTGTAGCAAAAACCTCTAAAAAAAAAGAAGAAGAAAAAAAAAGAAAATGAAAATCCCTGACTGGTTTCCAGATGTGCCCCTCATCCCGGTCAGAGTAAGCTTTTGTCTTTAATTGCTGAGCTCCACCTGGTCTCTGGGGTCGAGTTCTCGTCCTGTCTCTGCGGGGTGAACGGAGCAAGTCACAGGTAGCTCTGGGCCTGTTTCCTCATCCGGGTGAGAGTCGGGCAGCACGGTCCCTCAGGCAGTGCCTCCCTCTGGTGGGCTTCTGCAGTGCCCCGAGGCTCGCAGGGCCCTCTCTGCGGTCCTCCTGGCCACATGGCTCATGCCCCTGTCTCACTACAAGGCAGGGATGGCTCTGTGTCGAAGGGGACTGGGGCCAGGCCTCAGGGACGTGGACAGAGGCCTGTCGAGTCAGACGCCCCAATGTGTTTCCAGGCGTGGCTTCCCTCCAGAGGGCCCAGGTAGGGGCAGGAGGTGCATCCAGCTCAGACTGGCCAGCGGCCCGCCAGCAGGGTGGGGGAGGGCCGGGGGAGGGCCGCGGTCTACTCTGCTGAGCTCGGGGAAGGGGCTTTGGGCAGATGCCAGCAGCCTCAGGAGCCCTTGGGTGGCTCTCTGTCCCCTCCCTGGACAGCACCTGGTTCCAGCCTGGCGTGCGGACTCGCAGCCTGGGGCCGCCTTTGGCCTGCCTAGGGCTGCAGCTTCCCTTGGGAAGATGTCGGAGGGCTTGTCAGCAGGGCCGGCCTGAGTCACCCACAGGGACTGGCCACCGAGGCACGGAAGGCTGCTCCTTCCAGCCAAGGGTCGGGCCTTTTTAATTTTTTTAGTCTGAACTAGCTTTGCGGCTTCTACAAATTAAGCAGTTTTATCCTGTTCCAAGAGCTTGTATTTCAGCAGAGAGAGACTCCAAGGAAGGAACTTTCCACTGGGAAGCTGGTGCCGCTCTGCTGCGTGGGGAGGGTGGGCCGGGAATGTGGCAGTCTCCACAGGGTCAGCAGTGCTGGCCTGGGGTCCTGGCAGGCCCGTGTGGCTGGCCCTGGCCGTCTGCCTCTGGCCAGGGCCTA